CTGGGTGTAAATGTCTTTCCCTTTTGCAGTCTTCTACAGCAGGCAGCAAAGGGGACTTCTTGCTTATCAGCGACCACCTGATTGAACTGGTCACCCGGCTCCACCAGACAGTACTGGAGACTACGAAGCAGAAATTGAAACTCCAAGTGACTGATGAGTAAGGGCAGACTTGGCGATGGGTGGAGGACGAGAAGGCTTTGGACCTGTTGGGAGTCCTTTTGGGGGGGGGGTATTTGTCTCCGTTTCCTACTCTCCTTCTTGCATGGAGAACAGCCACTTTATTCTATCAAAGACTATTGAGGCAAGATGTAGAGAGACAGGAGAAGGGATGCAAACAAGGCTTAAACTGTTTTCACTCTACTGCAAAACCCATAACCTCCATCAGCGGTGTGTTGAGGATATTATTTTTCTGTATAACATCTTGGGAGTTAGTTGCGCATTGGCCATGTTCAGCAGAGCTCAGCCAAAATGGGTGGCAGTGGAGCATTTTGTGTGTGGGAGGGAAGTTTTGCTTCCTGCTAAATACTAGGCCCTGTTTTGGCAGTGATGTGAAACAAAGCGAAAACCTCCTCCTCCTCCTCTCATTTAGATGGAGGCAGGGTGTAATGTTCTCTCCTTGATCTGGCATTCCCTGGTGCTTATCACATAGCCAATTCTGGCTGGCTTTATGGATCCCTGACATGATTGTACTGGTGACAGAATACCTGACTGGCTAGTTTACATAACCAATAAGAAGAACACTTTATTTTAAGAAGGGGGGGAGGCATCAAAACAGCTTGGAGCATGCCCTGACCTGGATAGCCCAGGCAAGCCCGATCTTGTCAGATCTCAGAAGCTAAGCAGAGTCAACCCAGGCAAGTACTTGGAAGGGAGTCTTCCAAGGAATACCAGAGGTGGGACGCAGAGGCAGGCTAATTGAGCCACCTCTCTGAGAAACGTCAAAGCCTCCAGCAGGGGTCTCCAGAAGTCTAGGCAAGCACACAGCAAGCAGGAGTGAAATGGGTGTGGGAGAGAGTCCTTTGTATGGTGGCTGAGAGAGTCCTTTGGTGGCTGAGAGTCCTTTGTATAAAATTTTGGTCTCCCTGAACCTCCTCTGCAGTGAAAATGCTCACCCATGAACTTCCAGCTCACTCTGAATATGTAAAACATTTTAAATATTTACACCTTGCTTTTCCCACTGTAACCAAAACATCTTGCAAAACCCCACAATACTTAAAGATCTCTGGCCATCTCCACAAGTTTTTGAACTTATCACCTGGTTTGATTTTACTGGAGATGTTGGCCCTTGCCCCCTATCCCGTGTAAACAAAGCGCTCAAAGTTACATCTCATGCAGATTTGACCGTTCAGCCCCAGGCCGTCTGCAAACTTCTGCATATGAGTTGCCACCTCAACAATGGGTGACATTTCCCCCTCCTCTGATCAGTTTGCGCTTAGTCTGAAATGACATCTGACAGTCTAGCGGAGGCTGCTGCTACATTCTCTCTGGCTAAGTTGCACCTGGCACATTGTCTTCTTCTAACCTGAGGATCTTCTGGTCACCTCCAGGTTTCTGGTGAAGTTCAAGCAAGGCAGCATCACTGTCAAGGTAGTGGAGACGGCGGAGAAACAGGGCACAGCGCCCATCTGCAGGAAGAAAGGGAGCCGTAGAATGGAGGTGCTGGTCCACTGAGGTGAAGCCGGGTGACAGGAAGGAGACACCAGGAGGATACTGCTTGTCCAGAACCAGAACCCTCGAGACTCCAGAGCTGGGAACCTCCAGCCTAGCTACAGCTCACCACCACGGCCAGTCCTTCAGAATCCCTCGGGGGCAGCTGTCTAAATACCTACATTCAGAACTGAACGTGCACCAATTTCTCCATTTGTTGATGAACGACACCTGCGTCACTTCCAGCATCTTGGGAAGTGGCCTCTCTCTCTCCTGTAGAAGACTCACAGAATATGGGGGGAGAGTGGGTCAATAAAAGAAATTCAAATGAAACACTCTTGCCTGCTTCATTTAAAGCCTCTTAGACCTTGAGGATTTTACCGGAATACTAAAAATCTCACCTTTCTTGTGGATGGTGTGTCCAGGAGGATATCACTTTGCACGGCTGGAAACCGTCTCTCTCTTTCATGCAACTGCATTGACTCACGATTTCTGTCCACATGTGGTTATTTCCAATTGCCAGTCAGAGAGTTAAGGCAGCGGCAATTAATCAGAGACAGATTTTATACTCGTAGAGTTGTGAAATTTATTAAAACAGTGTGCAAAGATTCAGGCCAATGGAACTGGCGAGCCTTTTGGAAGGTTATCTAAATCCTTGTAGGCACCTAAGTTTTCTTTAGAACGGGCGGCAATGTTAGACACCTGTTACTATGGTTCCTGAGGATCTGCTGACCACCAGGAACAAAAGGAGGGGATCAGTAAACCGCAGCTGAAAGGGGGAGGGAAAATCAGTACAAATGGTCACCCCTTCTTAAGAAAACTTAAGAACAGATACAAGACACAGCATCTCTGAAGATGGCAGAATTTATTTATTTATTTATTTAGCCCTCCCTCCCCTGCACACTGGCTCAGGGCAGGTTAAAAAGGGTAACGGTAAAGGTTCCCTTGCTCGAAAGCCAGTCGAGTCTGACTCTAGGGTTGCGGTGCTCATCTCCGTTTAAAAGCCGAAGAGCCAGCGCTGTCCGGAAACGTCTTTGGACAGGGCAGGTTACAACATAATTAAAACATACAACATAACTGAAACAGAATACAACCTTTAAAATCTATAAAATTATTAATTAATCAGTTCACAAAACATTGCTAAAAACATTTGATGGTGTCTGCTGCGCGATTAAAAAGTCCAAGAAGAAGAGTTTGGATTTATACCCCACCCTTCACTACCCAAAGGTGTCTCAGAGCGGCTTACAAGCTCCTTTCCCTTCCCCTCCCCACAACAGACACCCTGTGAGGTAGGTGGGGCTGAGAGAGCTCCTGACAGAAACTGTTCTTTTTTCAAGAACAGCTCATCAGAACTATGGCTTGCCCAAGGTCATCCAGCCAGGTGCAAGTGGAGGAGTGGGGAATCAAACCCGGTTCTCCCAGATTAGAGTCCGTGCACTTAACCACTACACCAAACTGGCCGGAGATGGAACGGTGCAGAGCAAATGGGGTAGGTGAGAAAGTCAGCCATGATGGAATGGAGCAGGGCAGAGCAGGGGAGGCCAGTATAGATTAATTGCCGCCACCTCGACCATAGGTCTGGCGGAACATCTGCACTTTACAGGCCCTGCGGAACTGCATTAAGTCCTGCAGGGCCTGGATCTCAGCTGGGAGAGTCTTCCACCAGGCTGGTGCCAGAGCTGAGAAAACCGTGGCTCTGGTCGAGGCCAGGCGTACATCCTTTGGGCCAGGGATAACCAGTAGATGTTGATCAGAGGAGCACAAAGCCCTCCGAGGGACATACTGGGAGAGATGGTCCTGTAGGTATGTTGGTCCCAGTCCGCATAGCGCCTCACTGCCTCACTGCGGCAGATCCAGCGTGCTGGCAGTGGAAGCCAGGATTGAGTCAAGAAACCAGCAATTGATGGGGGGGGGGGGGGGGGGGCTGGATCTCGGTTGGATGGAACTTCAAGGGATTGCCCTGTTACACATGAGGAGGAAGGACAGGTAGGTCGCTTCACAAGGAGAAAGGACGGAGAGGTCTCCCTGGGTCCCAATTGGCCCCTTTTGTGTGAGGAGGGAGTAAAGAGAGGTTGCCCCGGGTTCGAGTTTATCCTCTAACCCACTCCTCTCTCCCGATCTATTTGCTTTTCTTTTTCCTTCCTTCCTTCCTTCCTCTCTCCCCCCATCTCTTTCTCCTTGAATTACATTTTTTGTTGGAGGGCTTAGAGCTTGTGTTTCAAGGGTTCTGCAGGAAGGCCTGTGCTACGTATGTCAATGTGTCCAAATGCAGGCATGCCACATATAGTTTACACAGGGTGTGAATAATACCGTGTTTCCCTGAAAATAAGACACTGTCTTATATTTATTTTTTCTCAAGAAGACACACTAGGGGTTATACCACAAATGCATAGAAATCCTGCTAGGGCTTATTTTTGGGGTAGGGCTTATTTTTGGGGAAACAGGGTACCGCAGATTCTGAAGTAACTTTCAGCTTGTAATTAAATTGGGGAGAGCCAAGTTAAAATTTTCTTCAATTTTTAATGCACGCTAAATGTATATTGTCAGCATACTTTGAGGGGTAGTGCTCCCATTCTGAAGACCCAGAAGAAACTAGATAATGGAATGATGACTTCTAAATGGAGGAACATGCATCTTTTAAGAGCGTGGTGTCAGTTAAAGACATCAGTGATAAGCTCTGTATATGATTTGTAATACAAAATAGTACTTTATATTTCATGTTTGTGAACTGAAATTCTAAAAAATATATTAAAAAATGTAGGCCCGCTCACAGCTTTAAGGCGAGTAGATCTTTCAGCTCACAAGGCAGGATTTCTGCCCACAAGACGACACAGCTTAGAGGGAACATGGGTCATGGACATATTCACATATTCAAAAACCAAGCAAAGGTTAGTGGAAAGGAGGGCCAAAATTAAAACCTTTTCATAAAAAGAGGTACATGTATTGATAATATCAAATTAAAACATATATAGGGGCCCAATTACAACCAATATATATAAAACATAACCAGGGCTAAAAGAGTTGACCTGACGCGTTTCGGCCGAATCGGCCTTCCTCAGAGGTCATACAAATGTGGCTAGATGGTAAATAGTTACATTCATAAAAACACAGGAATATATACAAAATACAAATTCAATAAGGACCATAAAGTAAATTGTTCAGAAGTAAAGTAACCAGGCACAAGATAAATATGCACATGAAACCTTTTTAGTGCAATCACTAGCCCAGTGATTATAAAATCCACCTATGGTCCACAAATAACCTTCTTTGATTGTGTTGCCACAATATTCACAAGTAAAAACTGCACTGGCTTCCAGTGGAATACTTGTTCAGGTTCAAGGTTTTGGTACTGGCCATCAAGGCCTTGAGCAGTCTGGACCTACGTACCTCCGGGACCACCTCCTCCGGAATGTCCCCCAAAGGGCGTTACACTCTGCCGAGAACAACTCACTGGTGATCCGCAGCCCAAAGGACGTCCAGCTGTCCTCTATGAGGGCCTGAAAAGGCCCAGGACCCTGCCTGGTGGAACTCTCTGTCAAATAACATCCATGCCTTGTGGGACCTGATGCAGTTCCGCAGGGCTTGTAAGGCAGAGATGTTCCACCAGGCCTTTGGTTGAGGACAACGACAGGTACCCTCCTGGCAGGCACTCCCTCTCCCTCCCTTTCCTCCCCTCTTCCAGCTATATAGTATAAGTTTTATTCACGGCCATTGACCAGCACATCGTACACCGATGGCCTATCTTGCGACATAAATGATACATTTGACATTAAAATAGAAGCAGAATTTTAAAAGCAGGTTTTTTAAAAAAGGGGAAAACTCCATAAAAACCATAATAGTTAAAATTAATAAAACTGAACCTTAATTCTCCTCTTTTTGAGCTATGTGCTGCCCCCAGTCAGCGTTATCTGTAGCTTAGTAAAACTGCGCTGTATCTTTAAGACTTGTTGCTCCTGGGAATTGTAGTTCGCAGTTAGGGTTCCCAGAAGCTTCCCTCTGACTGGCTCATTAAGAGCAATTTCCTGACTTTATGGTTCTTTTCCGCTTCTTTGTCCATCAACCCTTACTGCAAGGCGAGGGGAAGTCCATCTCTTTCTCACCGCAGCTATTGAACTAACCTAGATCACAAGATGTAACTTTCCACCCAGATATATCAGCCCGACTGTGAGTAACTGATTTCTGAATGCGTGATAGTTTTTCTAATTCTTAGGGCAAACCATCCAAACCCAGCCACCCGATGAGTAACTTCTGCTCGCCTGTCCGATAAAAAACTTCTTAAAAGGCAGATTCCTTGCCTATGAGAAAGAGGAAGTGTCTTTGAGAAAGGAAGAGATTCGCGGATGTTGTTATAGGCCTTACCCCTCTTCCAGCTATGTTTCCCCGACCTCTTTTAGGAAGCAGCGACACTAGAATTCGATAACGCCATGTATGATGGTGAGAGGGTTGGAATCCAAGTCTTATGAGGAAAGGGTGAAAAAGTTGGGTATGTTTAGCCTGGGAAAGAGAAGGCTTAGAGGGGACATGATTGCAGTCTTCAAGTATTTGAAGGCCTGTCATGTCGAAGATAGAGTGGATCTATTCTCTCTTGCTCTGATTGCACGACTAGGTCTAATGGGTGGAAATTACATGGGAGTCGTTACCGGCTAAATATCAGGAGAACCTTCCTAACTGTAAGAGTAGTTGAGCAGTGGAACAGTCTGCCTCGGAAGGTGGTGGATGCTCCGCTGGATGTTTTCAAGCGGAGGCTGGACGACCATCTTTCAGGTATGGTGTAGGTATGTAGGGCTATCTTTTGGCTATGCTCCTGCAGAGTGCAGGGGGTTGGACTAGATGACCTGCAAGGTCCCTTCTAACTCTAACATTCTATGATTCTGTGAATTGTTTCTTATTTTAATTGCTGGAACTGTTTTTATCTTGATGCATTTTATCACTGTTGTTCATCACTCAGAGCCCTGAGTACTCAGGGATAGAGAGATTCATAAATCAAAATTATAAATAAACTGGATTTTTTTTCCTGCAGGGACAAATATAGTGTAGAGATAGCCCAACAGCCAGCCACATGTGGATGCCGCTTTGGAAACTCTAGGAAAGATATCAAGGCACTGGTCCAACATTATCCAAAAGCAGGAAGCTAATCTGGGAGACAGCTTGAAAACAAAGTCTTCATACTCTATGAAAGGGCACCAGGAGAAGCCCCCCCCCCCCACATATATACACACATACCACTTTCCTCAATGAAAGTCTTTAAAACAATAAGTTTCTCCAAATGCTGGCAATGTTTCTAGAGCATCACACCAATGAGATTTGTAGCCCCTTTGCCAATGCTACAGTTTACATAGAATGCTCTCACGCCTCTACTTGCACTGCTGTGGTTTTGGGTTAAATAAGGTGATCACCCGGTCTGCTACCCATGCCGGAAAGTAGCTCAGAGGGATGTAAAAGAACTTGGCGTCCCATCCAGCGGAGTAGCGGGTGCGAGGGTGAACAGCAGTCAGTGCATGCTCCATGCAGTCGGTCACCAGCGAGAGGTCGGTACTGCTGACCATTTGCATTATTCTGACCATTTTATAACCTGCTTGGGGGGGGGGGGGGGGGAAAAAAAATATTTAGCCACCGGACCCTTTGATTTCCTTTACACAAAGCATTAATTAATTCCAACACAATTTCATGTCCACCTAGCCAGCCACTTTCCCATACACAATCTGCCTAGATTGTATTTTTTATTTTTTTGCCACCAAGTCACAGCTGACCTATGGCGACCCTATGGGGGTTTCAAGGCAAGAGACATTCAGAGGTGGTTTTCCATTGCCTGCCTCTGCATTGTAACCAGTGTTCCCTCTAAGCTGAGTTAGTGTGAGCTAGCTCACAGTTTTTTAGCCTCCAGCTCACACATTTTTGTCTCAGCTCAGGAAGGATGGGGCTCCAGAGCAAACTAATCTATGCGGTAGCCAAATCACTTGCTCACAACTTTAATGCCAGTAGCTCACAAAGTAGAATTTTTGCTCACAAGACTCCACAGCTTAGAGAGAGCACTGATTGTAACCCTGGACTTCCTTGGTGGTCTCCCATCCAAGTAGTGACCAGGGCCGACCCTGCTTAGCTTCTGACATCTGACAAGATCAGACTAGCCTGGGCTATGCAGGTCAGGGAGCCTAGACTGTATGTTCTTCTTTAAATCCCCACTTTCTATATATCCCTAGATGCAGCTAGCCAAACAACTTTGAAGATGCTGTCTTCTGGTTAAAAACTCACTAAAATAAATGAAAAACGATGCCTTAACATCATCTTCCAGTACGCCCAGCAATAAAATCTGCACAAATCCTGCAATCATGAAATTTTTCTAAGGAATGGATGGTTGTGAACATGGATGCAATCAGGCTCTTTTTGTAGCAGGAACTCCTTTGCATATTAGGCCACACACCCCTAATGTAGCCAATCCTCTAAGAGCTTACAGAGCTCTTCTTACAGGAGCTACTCTAAGCTCTTGGAGGATTGGTTACATTAGGGGTGTGTCGCTTAATATGCAAAGGAGTACCTGCTACAAAAAGAGCCCTGCCGGGCCCCACCCAATAGCCAGAAGCTGATAAACACCAACTAGAGGCCCGCAGGATTTAATTGCCACATGAAGTACGGAAGACAGCTAATAGAATACAAGGAGGCTTTGGCAGTTGTGCAGACCTGTTGTTTAAATGGGGCAAAATACCAGGACCCAAATGTGATCATGCTGCAGCCTGCCAAACTATTCCCCATCTGTCACAGGAATGTGAGCATCGTGCTTTCCAGGGAGATGTGACAGAGCTCTTTGAACTCTCCCCAGCTGCGACTGAGCAGATTGAAAATCTACATATTAGTATTTAGGTGGATTGCCCAATTGGTCTTGCATACCCGTTGTATCAACTTGGTTATGTATTTTATATTATTAAATACTTCCTGTGTGTAACTCTGCCATATGATAAACACATATCTTCCAGTAAAGTGAATGAAACCAATTACAAACATCAAAGCTCTTGGATACATTACAAAGCTTGGGGTGTTTTGAACCCAAAATCAGTGTGGTGTAGTGGTTACAGTGTTGGGCTAGGATCTAAGAGAACCAGGCTCCAATCTCAGCTCTGCGATGGAATCCTGATAGGTGGCCTTGGCCCAATCACACTCTCTCAGCCTAACCTAACACCCAGGGCTGTAGTGAGGATAAAATGGAGACGAGACTGCTGTGAGCTGCTCTGAGTCCCCACCAAGGAGAAAAGCAAAGTAGCTAAATAATTTTTTTTTAAACAGCCATTTCTACCCTGCTGCCTAGGTCTCACTCACATAGGGTTGTCAAGTCCATCTTCCACCCCCAGCGGGGGACTTTGGGGGCGTTCCAGGAAGGGGTGGGGCATCCCCAACGTGATGACGTCACATTGGGGACGTCTGCCCCCCCCCCCGGCCGTGCGCCGGATCTCCAGAAACAGCAGTTCCCTGCACTTAAAGTAGCCGGCAGCTGGCGTTTCCCCTTTAAGAGAAGCTGCGTTTCCCTTTTAAGAACGAAGCTGGCTTTTCCCTGCAAGCTTGCGGAGTTCGCGCTTGGGATGAAACACGGGTTACACACCCTTAAAGGGAGAGAGATGGGTGGCTGTGGGTGTTGGGGGTGGGGCTTCTCCCACCGGCCATCTGGCTGGCGGCGGGTAGAACCCCCCCCCAAAACGGGGGACCCCTGGCAAACCGGGGGGGTTGGCAACCCTACACTCACAGCAGCCTAAAAGAAAATTCTAGCATTCTCTTGTCCAGGCACTAGTTTAGGCCCCATATACTTAGCTTCAACAGTGCTAGTGCTCAAAATGTCTAATAAAGGAAATCATGGCAGTTCAGTGCTTTTCAAACACATTCACTTGTTCCTTCTAGTCACTGTTTCATGGAGCACCCAGACAGTGGGTTTTTCTGCAAATGTTATTTCCTTCCTTGTGGGCCCATAAGTGCATCTTTTTTTCTTTCCCCCACATGTGTTTTGCTCCCTCTAGTGGTTACTTTGATATTTCATCTCTGTATTGCCATCTTATTTACGAGCACAGCTAAAGTTCTTGTGAAGAAGGCAGAGATGAAGCAATGCAATATTCGAGCAACCACCAGAGGGAGCAAAACATGTGGGGGAAAGGGAAAAGCAACAACAATGCAGTACAGGCACACAAATGACAAAAATAAGATATTTTTTATAAATTATCTGGATGAGGGTGCAGAGGGGCTACTCATTAAATCTGCAGATGACACTAAATTGGAAAACGCAGCGAACACACCAGAAGACAGAGATAGAATTCCACAAGATCTGAACACGCTGGAAAAGTGAGCAGATGTGAACAAGATGCAATTTAACAAGGATAAGGGCTGAGTTCTACATCTGGGTAACAAAACTGAGGGACATGCGTACCGGATGAGGGATGCACTTCTGAGCAGCAGTGTATGTGAGCAAGATCTTGGGTTATGGGTGGACCGAAAGTTAAATATGAGCAGCCAATGTGATGCGGCAACAAAAAAGGCTAATGCAATCTTGGGGTGTATCAACAGAAGTATAACATCCAAATCCCAAGATATCATAGTCCCACTGTACACTGCATTGGTCAAGTCGCACCTGGAGTATTGTATGCAATTCTGGAAGCCTTACTTCAAAAAGGATGTGGACAGAATTCAGCGTGTGCAGAGGAGAGTGATGAGGATGATCGGAGGCCTGGAGACCAAGACCGATTTCTCACATGTTACTTACCCCTGTTTACCGGCAGGGCAGTTTGCCCCAGACCGTTTAAACTGATTTTGCATTAGAGTTCTTGGCATGTGGCTGTTTTCAATCTGCTCCTGGAGTTTTATTTCCTTGGCGAGGTTTCCTGTGGCTTCCTGTATCCTCCCTCCTCCCCCGTCTTCGCTCTCTTAATCCCTCCCCTTCCCACTTTTTTTCCGCACGGCAACAGGAAACTTCTGGCAAATCAAGGATCGAGCTGAGTCGGAGCAAAACAGAGGAAGCTGCGGGTCAAAAGGCAGCCGCGGGACAAATGGTGTGAAATCTGAGTTCGGCACAAAGCATTTCAATTGAAGAAGAAGAAGAGTTGGTTTTATACCCTGCTCTTCACTACCCAGAGGAGTCTTGGAGTGGCTTACAATCACGTTCCCTTCCTCTCCCACAAGAAACACCCTGTGAAGTAGATGGGGCTGAGAGAGCTCTGAGTGATCTGTGATTGACCCAAGGTCACCCAGCTGGCTTAATGTGGAAGAGTAGGGAATCAAACCCAGTTCTCCAGATTAGAGTCCGCCACTTTTAACCACTACACCATGCTGGCTCTGATTGCGTAAGGTTGCAGTCCTAAGCATATGCACTTGGGTGTTTGGACACAATCAAGCTTCCATATAAGTGAGCATGCTTTAGAAATCAGCATGAATTCTGTGAGCCAAAGTCATAGACTTTGCTGCAGAACAAGCAGCAATCTCATTCATCAATATTTTACAACTACTAGATGCAGAACACACAGGAAACTCATTCATTGATATTTTACAACTACTAGGTGCAGAACACATAGCAATCCCATTCACTGACACTTTACTAGGTGGCTTCCAAAAAGAAAACTCTTTCGAGTGTGCTTAAAGAAGCACCAAAATTCAGAAAGATGGGAGGATGGTACTACTCACTTCCCTCTAGGAAAGATTCCCCATACACTCTCTTGGTTTCATCTGGGAGCCGTTCCCAAAGGCTCTTGAAGTTGTTGATCAAGATCTTTTCATCAGTGACAGCAGTTTTGAAGAAGCCTGGCTCTATAATGGAGACCTTCAATCCAAAGCATGCACTCTCACGTCTGAAAACCAAGACAACCGAGAAGCATTATGTCCCCATGGTTCTTTGAACATATGAATGGTTCAAGAGAAGTGTTCCCTCTAAGTTGAGTTAGTGTGAGATAGCTCAGTTTTTTAGCCTCTGGCTCACACCAATTTATGCAGTAGCCAAATAGCTGGCTCACAACTTTAATGCCAGTAGCTCACAAAGTAGAATTTTTGCTCACAAGACTCGACAGCTTAGAGGGAGCATTGCTCGAGAGGCTAAGAACATAACATTAAGAAGAGCCCTGGCATATCAGAATAAGGTCCATTTCACCCAGGATTCTCTGCCCAACTGTAACTTGTAAAGTGCTCATCAATAGGACAGGAAGTGGGTGGGGCTATGACCAGTGGTGGTTGGTAGCTATTACCCGCAGTTTGCAGTCTGTTCCCTCTTAATTTATTATGTTCAGCCTGTACAGGGATTTGCCCACCCAGGCCAGTCCAAGAATGGGAGGGAATCCTGTACTTTTTAGTACATTAAACAACAAACCACGAGATGGTCTATACCCTCTCTAGTTTCCGGAACAATTTGCCACCAGAACCTCTTTTCACTAGTCCCTGCCTTTCCTAAAGGAGAGATTCCAAACCCTTAGTTGGCATCTGGGACAGAACACCTTAGCAACTCACTCCAGAGATGCACACCTTTCCTCTCCAATGGTAGCATATATGGTGAGCGTTTAGGCCACATGATTTAGCCTTGGATTTCAGTTACAACATCAAAGACAATTTAGCAATAAGAGGGATCTTTATTTAGTACAGAGCTTAGCATAGACTACCAAAGATTACAAAAATAACAAAGGCTAGGGCTGTTTGCCTTAACTAAACATTAATGATTCATAGTTACCACGTCAGGAGTATTCCTCAGGCCAAGATAGTCCCAGTACCAAGGGATATGAAGGGAAATCCCATTTTTGCACACCATGTGCTCCAAGTCACAAAGCAACTCTTTGTCTCTCAAGAGGCAGCATTTCAGGTGCAATAAAACAAACTGACAGAGGAGAAAGGGAGAGCTAAGCAAGAGAGCTCACTCCCATAGGGATCAAAACAATTATACCCCAATTCCATTCACAAATTAGATGTGGCTATCAGCCAATTGCGAGTGGGCATGGGTGTGCCCAATTGTTGGTTGCCATGGTTGCTAACATCAGGTTTGTGGGATTGGCTGGAAGTTTGGAGACCCTGCATGCAGTCAGCTGACCCAAACTCCAGCTACTTCATTTTGTATGCGACTGGTCGCAAGTGGGCCAGAAAGTGTAGCCATGAGGTCTGGTGTTTGGCATGAATGTGGGTTTATGGCATGGCTATTGAGGCCATGTGGCCTCACCATTTGGCTTGCAACAGGAAACAAGACACGGCATGTTATCAAAAGACATCACTGGAGAAGGCATGTGGATATAGAAAGCAGAACGCAATTTTTCTATACACAGCCCTTTTGAAGCTATTCGAGATTCTGAAAACATGCCTCCGAGGCAAGATAAGGAGGGGAAGCAGAAGGCAAAGCAAAAAATGGATAATATACCTTCTTTGACAGAGTTTTTGCTCAAGCTGAAGCTGGAACCTCCTCCACAATGGACTCAGGAAATACTGATAAGGAAGGGACTACTCTTACAACAAGCTTTCTTTTAGAAGCCTTGGCTAAACAATGATAAGAGTTAAGAAGGGACATTGTAGAAATGCTTGAAACCAGCATTCCAGCGTATGGATGAATTAGAAGAACAGTTTAAGCAAACTAAGCAAACAGCTGATAATGCTTTAAAGAAGGCATCTGCGTTGGAGAAACAAACTGCCTGCAACTCCCTTGATTTATGGGCTAGAGAATGCATTCTTTCTTTGGATTATCGTTCCTGTGAGCTACATCTGAAATTCAGAGGATTTAAACCAAATGTTGAAGAAGGAACGGAATTAAAAAAATTTATTGCTAATTGGCTGGTTGGAGGTTTAAATCTGGAGGAAGGAGTGGCTCCTTTAATTCAAAAGGCTTATTGGGTGGACTTATGACAAGAGGAAACAGCGAATACTTCAGTTTATTGTCGAGACATTGGTGTAGTTTTCAAGGACTTCAAAACCAGACAATGGATATTAACACAGGCAAGGGGGGGGGGAACTGGTTTGGAATATCAAGATGTAAAGATACAGGTGTTCCTTGATCTTCCACCAGAATTCCTTAAGATAAGAAGGGAGTTGAGACCAATTACGACTAAACTCTGAGAGTTAGACATCAAGTATCATTGGCTGAATATGGGCAAACTCTGTGTGGAATATAAGCAGGTGATTTACACAGCTTTTGACCAGGCATCTGGAGAGCAGTTGCTGGCTGCTTTAAATAAATCACCTGGTGAGCTATGGGAGAAGACAGACAACAAAAGGAAAACAAGATCACCTCCCACTCCGTTTAAGGCAACCAGAATCTGTCTTTCTGAAGACCGAGAAGAGTTGGATGAACATATAGACTCTTTTTAAACAACAAGCATTCATGTTTTTCTCTGAGGACTGCCCTTGTTATATCTGAAGTAGGGCGACCGGGTAGCGGCAAGTGAATGCAGGTATGTGCCCTCCCTTTAACAGTCCTTGGGTGAAAGGTTAAGTCCTTTCGGCTCATGGGACTCCCTCAGACTGAACTCAGGTTCAAAGAAGAATAGAGTAAGAAGTACTATGATTGGTTTCGAGCCTGTGTATTTTATCTTAATTTTGTGGTTATGTTGAAAAGTTTTGCTTAAAATACTTAAAATGCAGCACAGGTTAATACTGAGAAGATAGAAGAACTGAAAAGATATAAGAAAGAAAAGAAGCTCTTATTGTAGATTATTAAAGCAATTAAAATGTATATGTACATCTATCAAAAAAAAATAAGAAATTGTGATGTATATATGTATATATGTTAGGTACGAGACCCAACGCAGCTTGTGAACAGTGAATCAGCTTTTATTTACAAGTCAGAAGAAATCAAGAACGAGACAAAAACATAGAGCAACAGGCTCTCTTTTAAACAGTTTGGGCTTAGGTAGCCACACCCACATGTCACATAACAACCAATCTCTGTTTACATATAAGGTCCAATTAGAGTGCTTCCCTCCATAACATTGTGCAGCTCTGATTGGTGGACTTACAATCCTGTCCAGGACTCAAGCTCAACACAGAACTTAATACACAACAATGTATTACTAGCTAAAATGGTAATCTTTATTTGAAATTCAGTTCTTCAATAAAACAAAACAAAATGCAAAAAAAAAAAAAAGGACAGGAAGCCATGGCCTTCCTTTGCTTGCTGTCAACGCCTGCAATTCAGAAGGTCCAGCTGGTAACTTTGGGTAGAACCTATCACCTAGGTGCCTTCAAGCAATCCCTTAACCTTTTGATCTGCAGCCCAGTTAAAGATGATGTGTTTCACTGGCATGGGAATATGAGTGGAAGTGGAGTAATCCCTTAAAGGTCATGTGTAAGAAACCAAATGAATATGGCTTCCTACACCCACTCTACAGTTTGGGTTTTTTTGCCATCACATTGTAGATGATTTATGGCAACCCCATAGCGTTTCCAAGGCAAGACACATTCAGAGGTGGTTTGCGATTGTCCGCCTCTGCGTAGCAACCCTGTACTTCCTTGGTGGTCTCCCATCCGAGTACGAACCAGGGCTGACCCCGTTTAGCTTCTGAGATCTGACAAGATCAACATTCAGATCAGGGCATACCCACTTTGTATACAGGCCAAATGCCTCTGCCCTTCAATTATCAAGTGGAAATTACATATATGAGTAAAGGGGTTAGAATTATCTATGCCACTTTCATGTCCCACAGTATGGCCAGCCACCAATTTAATGCAAAGTACTCTGGTTTAACTGGATTGAGCAACTGAGATGCAGTACGGCACACAAGCCGAACTAATCGACATATTGAAAGGGTGAGTCATGTTAATTCATTTGTGGTCTCAACCCTTGTGATGAGCTTTGATTGTATGACAATCCTACTCAGGGGTCATTTCACAGAAAAAGAGGTGCAGGAGCTCATTAGCATAACTCATTCGCATAACTTATTTGCATATGCCACACCCCCTGACATCACTGGAAGTGCGTCAGAAGGCAACACCCACTGCTCAGGCTCCACTGGACTCTTTTGGATTGCTAGCTATTGGGGGGGGGGAACGTGCAGATCTGCCCTCACAAAGGAGGGAGAGCTTGTACCTGAATAAAACTTGGTCTTAAAGATGCCACTGGACTGTTTTGGACCAGGGGGCCGGGGCGGGCGGGCTCTGCAACTTACCTGTCTGCTTCTTGCTCTGATTGAGGGCTGCTGGGAGCAGGGGGTGGGGCTTGTTGCATGTGCCCGCCCCCTGGGCTCTTTACTGCCGGAGCTCCACTCCTGTGCGCTCCTGCAGGAAACGACCCCTGACCCTACTCTACCCATCATCAACAACTAGGAATGATGTTTGAATGAACTAATTTCACATTGATTGGATATCATTTGCAAAACCTCCTTATTCCCATTTGTTCTGTTGCTTGTAATGTTTAGAATAAGCACATCTGCTATAAATGTACGCGTAATAATAATAATTAATTGTTATTGTATGCCATTGTGCGTAGTATAGCTAGGAGATCTGAAGAATGTCTGGCAGCCTTAAGTTCTAATTCTTTTAGCGTTATGGATCACTAGAGGGTGAGCTAGACTTTTATTGGGGGGGGCTGAGAGAGCTTTGAATGTGCGGTGACTGATCCAGGGTCATAAAGTTGGCTTCATGTGAAGGAGTGTGGAATCAAACCCGATTCTCCAGATTAGAGTCTGCCAGTCTTAACCACTACACCATGCAGGCTAATAAATGTAAGCTTTCATGCATGATGCAGTTGTTAGAGTGCTGGGCTAGGATTTGGAAGACCCAAGTTTGAATCTGCACGGAAGCTTGCCAGGTGTCCTTGGGCCAGTCACACTCTCTCAGCCTACCCCCCCCCCAAACAGGGTTGTTGTGAGGTACAAATGAAGTGAAATAAAATGGAGTGAGCGCTGCTTTAATGACGCTTAAAAGGTAAAGGTTCCCTTGCTCGAAAGCCAGTCGAATCCGACTCTAGGGTTGCGGTGCTCATCTCCGTTTCAAAGCCGAAGAGCCAGCGCTGTCCGAAGATGTTTCCGTGGTCAAGTGGCCGGCATAACTAAACACCAAGGCGCACGGAACGCTGTTACCTTCCCCCCCAATGTGGTACCTATTTATCTACTTGCAATTTCTTGCTTTCGAACTGCTAGGTTGGCAGGAGTAATGACGCTTAGGCCAGAATAAATTTTGTTCCTCTTTGAGCCGCTATTCATTTGGCTGCAACAGATGAATACAATTGCATCTCTGCAAGTAAAGTTTCTTTGTGTTACTTCTAACAGAGAAGAACTGAGATCTGGAAAGCCACCAGAACCAGCTAACAAACATAGGTATCAAGAAGCATCTACTACTACAGGTTGGAATCCTTTTCTACCTAGTTTAAATTAGGCTGCAATAGCTATTCTACAAGCCAGACAGAGCGTTCTGAACTGAATGCAAGAAGGCAGGTTTGGCGAGCATTCCAATAAGGCATGAGTCCCCAGCATGGCGCCTTGTGGGCGACATAGTGTCAACCAACCCCTTTGGTGCCCACCAAGTATTTTTAGAAAGTGGGCAGGGCCATATGGGGCTTTTGCCCATCAAGCCTTCTGATCGGCCCCTAGACATTTCATCAGCTGTGCAAATTTTAAAAAAACACTGCCTTGGCAGCAGCTGCCACCACAGCACAAGGATCTCCATGGCGGGAGCGAAGGTCACCTCAAGATTGGACTACTGTAATGCTCTCTACATGGGACTGCCCTTGTCGCAAATCCAGAAGCTGCAGCTGGTGCAAAATGGTGCAACAGCCAGGCTGTTGATGGGTCTCCCTGTGCGGGAGCACATCCAGTCTGTGCTGAAGGCACTGCACTGGCTGCCGACAGCATACTGGATTCGCTTCAAGGTGCTGGTCTTGACCTTTAAAGCCCTATATGGGTTGGGGCCAGTGTTCCCTCTAAGCTGTGGAGTCTTGTGAGCAACAATTATACTTTGTGAGCTACTGACATTAAAGTTGTGAGCGAGTGATCTGGCTGCTGCATAAATTAGTTTGTTCTGGAGCCCTCCTTCCTGAGCTAAGATAAATATGAGTGAGCTGGAGGTTAAAAAACTGTGAGCTAGCTCACACTAACTCAGCTTAGAGGGAACACTGGTTGGGGCCTGCCTACTTGAAGGACCACCTTTCCCCGCATGTTCCCCAGAGAACACTGAGGTCGAGGTCCCAAAACTGCCTGACTCTCCCTGGACCAAAAGATGCCAGATTGGCCTCTACTAGGGCCAGGGCCTTCTCAGTAGCGGCTCCATACTGGTGGAATGAGCTCCCGGAAGACATCAGGGCCCTGCAGGACCTTTTAGAGTTCCGCAGGGCCTGCAAGACGGAGCTCTTCCACCAGGCCTTCGATTAGGAGCCACTGCTAACAACATTGAATTCCAAAGGTGTCCACAGGCTTGAAAATGTTAGGGACCTCCGCAATAAGGGCACCGGGGTTTCTCTCTTCTCTACCACCACGACAACCGAATGTAACCCTTTTTGTCACACACACACCCCCAACTTCTCCATTGATTTGGGCTTGTAACAGCTCGTAGCAATTACCTGAGACAGTCAGAGAAGCCCTCGACTGCGAATTTTGAAGGGCAGTAGCCGCCTCCAAAGACGGCGACCCGCCCCAGGAAGCTGGATACGTTGACTACCCTCCCTTTGGCTTTTCTTAGCAAAGGCATCATGTGTATCGTCACATCCACCATCCCCAAAAAGTTGACGTCTGTAACCTTCTTGAAGTCTTCCTTGGTCATCCACTCATTGGGACCAGACGGAACGGAGATGCCTGCGTTGTTCACCAACCCCCAGAGCCCTGGGAGGAGGAGAGATCGGAGACACAACGGAGACATATGTTGAACACTGCCTTCTTGGTGCACACCAGGCAACGCCAAAACAGGTTTGCCTTCTGTTCATAATATTAATAAAGGTTTGCTACTGTACTATTCTAGAAATACATTCCATCACCAAGCAGGAGAGGGATGAGAAGATCTTGAGACCAAGAAGTGAAAATAAGGGAGGGAGACACAGAAAAATTAGGTGAAGGGAGACAGAAATGAATGAGAAAAGTGTGGGAAAGAGAGAGGGAAATTAAGAGAGGGAAAAGTTGTTTTATCTCGCTGCAGTACCTTAACTACTGGCTGAGCTGGGCAGGCTCGTAACTAGGATTTTATTTTTCAGGGGGCTGCCGAAGGAAAGGAGGTGGCCAACATGTACCGAATGGGCACGAGAAATGTATAAAAAAGGGGGTTTTCAAGTGAAATCTTGTGGGTCTGTCCCTTTAAGAAAGGGGGCAGAGCCCTGAATAGCCACCGTAGCTACAAGCCTGGAGCTGGGTGTAAGGAAAGGAAGAGAGAAAGGCTAGACTATTGGAGAAAATGACCTGCAGGCTAGCAATTACTTTAGCAGATATCAGGCTTGGTCATTGTTAAGCAAGTTTGCTTTAGTCTTGGGGAAAGGGAAGTCTAGATGATCCAAGAGTGTTTTTTCTTATGCTCAGACTCCCCTGAACCCCTAGCGGCTGCAGCCAGAACTACATTTTAAAAATAAAAGGAAAGACTGAACGTCTTTCTGGACTGAAAGCAAGAAACTGCAAGTAGATAAATAGGTACTGCTTTGGTGGGAAGGTAACATCGTTCCAAGCACCTCAGTGTTTAGTCATGTCGGCCACATGACCACGGAATCATCTTCGGGCAGCGCTGGCTCTTCCGCTTGGAAACGGAGATGAGCACCGCCCCCTAGAGTCAGATTCGACGGGCTTTCGAGCAAAGGAAATCTTTACCTTTACTAATGTGTGGAAATGTGTGGATTAAGCTTCTCATGGCATGGAAATAAATAATGTCACCTGGTAAATTACTTCCGATTAACTAAACAGGTAGGACATTTTTTTCTCTAGGTCCCATTCCCATGCCACCAATGAATTTCTGCAGAGGAGGCAACATCTGTTCTATCATGGAGACCTTCCCAATGATATAGCCAGCTACTTGCCAACGTTACAGCTTTGATACAGGATCCTGAGAAGACATTTCTAGCAGTGTTCACAAGTAGGGTATAGCGTTTCAGCTGAAGCAACAGGGCTGGATCCTAAGCATTATGCACAGAGTCGTGCTCACAGAACACAACTCCTCCCCTCCACAGCCTGCCATGCTGCCATTTCCAGAGGGGGTCAGGTGACCCTTGCGAATAGCGTGGGCTGCCACCTTGGGGTTCAGGTTTTGGAAGAAGTGGCAGCAATCTTGTACAAGTGGGAGGAAAGTGGTGCTGGGAATCAATCCTTAATGCACAAAGACAGACAACTTGGTCCGGTCCGATCAGTGCCATTTTGGCACACAGCTAGAAGTATTCACATCTGAACACAACCACCACGTCACTTCACAGGTTTCTTTCTGCACCCCGGAGCAAGGCACACAAGGTTATGTGCTCGTATGAAACCCCCACTTGGATGCAACATTTGCCATCCCAATTGCTGTAAAGATTAAGCGGTGACAGCCTTGCCATAAGCTACCTGGGAGAACAGGTGGAATGAAAAATGAGTTCGCTCAGTCAGCGAAGAGCTACTCCGATAACACAACAACTTTGAGAACCACCGCATTCGTCCATTCTAACCTTTGTCGCCAACCTGGCTTTTAACCCATTCTGTGGCTCTGGCCACACTTTCCGTGCTGCGGACATCCAAGATGGTGGTTTGCAGTCGTTCCGACGCATTCTCCTTTAGCTTCTCCGCTCCCTCAGGTGTGAAACAAGCTGCCAACACACGAAATCCCCGAGCATCCAGCTGTCTGGCCAGGAGGTTCCCGAACCCAGAGCAGCAGCCCGTTATGAAGACGTACTTCTCTGTCAAGTTGCTTATGCTCTGCTTGTCACGATGCCATCGGAACAGGAGATAGAGGCCCACCAGGATGGCTGCCAAGTAGTGGTACATGGCCAAGCTCGCTACAGCTGAAAGACAAGGATGAGAAGAATGGGATACCAGATTATCAATCAGCTGTAGGGGGTCTGGGAATAAGTTTAGAGAGCAAACTGCAGCAGTCCAGAGACTGAGATGTCAGAAGTCAAACTTTGGATCTGTTTTAGGCAAGCTTTCTTTCTCTGCCATTCTTGGCCCTCAGACAAAAACCATACTGATCCCTGGTGTGCGGACTGATGTTGCCTACTTTGCATGGGTTGTTGTAGCACCGTTCAAAGAAGGCGCTGAGGCGATGGAAAGTTGCCTGGTGGGAGGAATATTTTGCCTCATTCAAAATTGAGCTAGAGCAGGGGTCCCCAACATGGGGCCCGTGGGCACTGTGGCATCTGCTGACACCTTTCCTTGCACCCATGGAATGCCAGGAGGGGCTTTTTGCCCAGCAGGGTTTATGATTGGCTGTGCAGATTAAAAGGTGTCTTGTTAAAACAGAGCTTCTTCTGACTAATGTTGATGTGTTACAATTAGCATTAAATAATCTTGCTCCCTGACATTTTGTGGTTGGCCCCGCCTCCTGCAGCAGCCATTTTGTGACTGTGCTCACTGCCCTGTGACAGAATTCTGAAGGTGCCTGTAGGCTCAAAAAAGTTGGGGGCCTCTGAGCTAGAAAGCCACATGGGAGAACAAAGAGGGAGACTTGCTATTCTGCAGTTTAGCGGAAGACAAAAAAAAAATGCAACCCTTTCCACTCGTCTACTTGGCCCAACCAACATCAGGTTCTTCTCAGACTCTATCAGTGGCCCAACACAGAGAACATGGCCCCTTCAAGACGAAGAAGAAGAAAAAGAAGATAAAGAAGAAAAGGAGGAGGAGGAAGAGGAGGAGATTGGATTTATACCTTGCCCTTCACTACCCAAAGGAATCTCAGAGCGGTTTAAAATCTCCTTTCCCTCCCCCTCCCCACAACAGACACCCTGTGAGGTAGGTGGGGCTGAGAGAGCTCTTTTCAGAACTGCCCTTGAGAGAACAGCTCTGAAATAACTTATGACTGACCCATGGTCACACCAGCAGCTGCAGGTGGAGGAGTGGGGAATCACCAAATTGGCTCTCAAAATAGCCTGCAAAAAGGAAGGGTAGAACAGCAAAGTAGCATGAAAAGTCGCTCAAGTACCTGTTTCAATAAGCTTCCTCACAGCAGAATTCATGCAGACCTTACAAAAGCTCTTCATACACAGTTCCTTGGCTGTACCTTCTCTCGCATAAGCATGAATAGCTCTAAAACCATAATTGCCACAGGTAATCCTTATTACATGCAACATAAGGATTACATGCGGCCGTTATGAGTCTAGAGCTATTCATGCCTATGCGAGACAAGATGCAGCCAAGAAACTGAGTAAGAAGAGTAAGGTCTACACAAATTTGCTCTGGGAAAGCTTATTGAAACAGGTGTTTGAGCAAGTCTGTCCAAGGAATCGTGACTTTCCATGCAATTTGGAGATAAGAATAAGAAGGACACTAAGAATATTTTATTGGCTATTGCACTTTATTTGCATTGGATGACGCTTGAGGTGAAGAGGACCAGGCGATCTCCTACAACAGAGAAGAGGATTATGTCACTGGATTATTCTTATTGTGAAGGATGTGTGTGTCCATGTGATTTCACAGACATGTATTAATATTTATCAAACACATGAAAAATTGAATTGACTTTTTGTAACTATATCATGGTTGTTATTGTTTATTTTTCATTTACCACCTAGAGGTTGCCGAACCTAGGGAATATGGACCAAGAGCTCCCTCTTCTCAGCCCAGCACTATAACCACTACATCACACTCGATCTCTAGAAAGTACTAAATTATTAAACAAACTGCTTATTAGCATCTTTAAATCAAAAAAATAAAATAATCCACCACCATTGTAGTGGTTAGGACCAGGAAGGCTATCACATGTTCCAGGGATTTCTCAACCTGCTCCCACCTCTGAAAAAACTTAAACTACTGCAATAGGCTTCCCCTCCCCACGACACGCACTTTTTGAGGTAGGTGGGGCTGAGAGAGTTCAGAGAGAACTGGGACTGGCCCAGGGCTTTTTTTGTAGAAAAAGCCCAGCAGGAACTCATTAGCATAATAGGCCACACCCAACAGCAGACACTCATTAGCATATTAGGCCACACCCAACAGCAGGAACTCATTAGCATATTGGGCCACACCCCTGACAGCACAGCTCCTTAGCACATTAGGCCACACCCACATGTTACCAGAAGTGTGGTCATCCAGCCACACCCACCTTTTGCTTCTTATTCTGTTTACCTTGTTTGTTGTCAAAACCCAGGGCCTTTTTTTGTAGCAAGAACTCCTTTGCATGTTAGGCCACACACCCCTAATGTAGCCAATCCTAATGAGTTCCTGCTGTTGGGTGTGGCCTGTTATGCTAATGAGCTCCTGCTGGGCGTGGCCAACTCAGGAGCCAGCTGGAACTCCGTTCCTGTGCATTCCTGCCCAAAAATAGCCCTGGACTGGCCTAAGGTCACCCAGCAGACTTCATGGGGAGGAGGAGTGGAGAATCAAACCCCGTCTGCTGCTGTTAATCACTACACCATGCTGGCTCTCTGCGAGAAGAAGGAGAAGGGATTGGATTTATACCCCGCCCTTCACTCAGAATCTCAGAGCATCTTACAACCTCCTTCCCCTTCCCCTCCCCACAACAGACACCCCGTGAGGTAGGTGGGGCTGAGAGAGCTCTTTTCATGGATTGCTCTTGAAAGAACAGCTCTTTCTCTCTGTGGAAACCACACGTTAAACCTTGTAGGTGTTGACCATGCTGAATCATGTAAAGAGGCAGTCAAGAACTCTGGAAGAATACAGCAAAATGTACAATTTGTTTAGTAGCAGTCCTCAAAGGTGGGAAATCTTGAAGCAACATCTTCCTGTTTCACTGTCAAAAACGAGATGTTCTGCAAGGATTGAAGGAGTAAGACCCATTGCACATCATATGGGTGAAGTAAGAAAGGCTTTAAGTGAACTGGAATATCTCAGTCTCACTGCACAGGCTCAAACTGACTTCTATCCAGAAATACATGTCAAAAATTGAATTTGTTCTAATGACATCCCTGTGGTTTAAGTTACTTACAATGATCCACCAGGTTAATCTAGTGATTGAAGCATGTATGCTACGCTTGATGTTGAGAGGGGTAACAATGAAAGCCTCACTGCTGATATTCAGCAAGCTTGTGAACAGTGGGATGCGATCTTATAAATCAATGGTGCGACCTCATTTGGAATACTGTGTGCAGTTCTGGTCACCACACCTTAAAAGGGATATTATAGCTTTGGAAAAAGTACAGAAAAGGGCAATTTGAATGATAAAAGGGTTGGAACACTTTCCCTATGAGGAAAGGTTAAGGCGCTTAGGGCTCTTTAGCTTGGAGAAACGACGACTGAGGGTTGACATGATTGAGGTTTATAAGATTATGCATGGGAAAGAGCAGGTAGAGAAAGAGGTACTTTTCTCCCTTTCTCACAATACAAGAACTCGTGGGCACTCCATGAAATTACTGAGCGGTCGGGTTAGAACGGATAAAAGGAAGTACTTCTTCACCCAAAGAGTGATTAACACTTGGAATTCACTGCCACAGGAAGTGGTGGCAGCTACAAGCATGGACGGCTTCAAAAGGGAATTAGATAAGCATATGGAGCAGAGGTCCATCAGTGGTTATTAGCCACAAGGTATAGATAGGGACTCTGGGGCAAGTGATGCTCTGTCATCTTGGTGCTTGGGGGGGGAGGTCAACAGTGGGAGGGCTTCTAATGTCCTGGTCCCACTGCTGGACCTCCTGATGGCACTGGTATTTCTGGTCACTGTATGATACAGAGTGTTGGACTGGATGGGCCTTTGGCCTGATCCAACATTGGCATCTCTTATGTTCTTATGTTCTTATGATCTTGAAGGAGGCCAAATTGGTAGCACTGAGTCAGAATATTGGTACATCGTCTCACTTTACCTGCAGCCACAAACTCTGTAATGATTCTGATATTGAACAACGTTGTAGAATCAATGTCTTCTTTGTTATTGTTGACTCAATAATAGCAGGTCTTAGAAGGCGGTTTGAGTCACCCAATATAATTTGTAACCTGTTTGAGTTTCTCTGGACATTTAATGACCTCAGTACTAAAGGTCTACGTTCATCAGCAGAAAAATTCCAAAGGAAGTACGCAAGAGAAATATCACTGGATCTGTTAAATTAGATGATTTTCCTCAAGCGAATACATTCTGTACACTTTAAACTGAATTGTAAGCCAAATTAATTACTTCAAGAAATACTCCAACTTGCGACTTTCTGGTGTGATTTCTAATGTTACTGTTGCATTCAGAATTTTTTTCTGTGTTTACCTGCATCAGTAGCTTCGGGTGAACAGTCACTCAATGTACTGAAACAGGTTAACAATTACTATTGTTCAACTATGGGACAAGATAATTTGAATGGCCTTGCAATGCTTAACATAAAACTATGACATTGTAAGAAAACTAGGTTTTTCCAATTTAACTGGTGAATTTCCACCAAAAAAAGCTAGAAAATCACATGTTGAATAAAAATGGGAACGTTTATTACAGAGTGTTACAATGTTCTTTTTCTTATTGTATTAAATAAATGTAAAGATTTAAAATACAATACTACTGTTGTTGTTCAGTTGCACAGTCGAGTCCGACTCTTCGCTACCCTACAGACCACATTGTTTTCGCACGTCTTCATTTTCTAATTTAGTGGAGAGGGGGCTCAAAAATGGAAGTGGCCCGGCATCTCTTGACCTTTGTGAGGGCCTGTCTGCCATGACTTTTCCCAGATCTGCTTTGATTCATGCTTTCCTACAAGTCTGCAAGGGAGGATGCAATTTCCCCATCTCCAGGCTTTTCCACATGGGTTTTCCCCATCAGTTCTGGCCCTACACTGCTTCGGTTTATCCCCTGCTTTCCACGTGCATTTTTGTGCCTCGAGTTTCCACTTTGAGTCCCCCCCACCCCCTTTTTTCTGGTTCT